AGCCTGTCCTATCCAGACAGGCCTGCGGAATGCATCTTCTATAAAGTTCTTTAAATCCTTAAAGCATACTTTCTTATGCTTTGGGTTCTCATTTGGTGACTTTGGTCCAGTGACACTCGCCCCCCTTCATGGCATATCCCCACCCGTGACTGCATTCTTGGGGGCTCCCTCCTGTGCTCTCCCTGCCAGCCCCCTGGCTTTTCCCCTCAGCCTGAGTGTCAGGCTGACTCTCGGCTTCCTGCAGACAGGGTGGGGCTTTTTCTGGGGAGCACCGTACTAAGCATTACATGCTGGACCTGACCAGCCACTCCATCACATCACCTCAGGCTGACCTCTGGGCAGTTTGGGTTCCAGGCTGAATGCAGTCCTCTCGGGGAGCCCTCACATCTCCCCAGGCAGGTGTCCAGCGCTTTCCTCCTGTGCTGTCAAGTGGCCCTGATCAGAAGGCTCGGTCATGTGAGCCGGGCACCACCTAGTTCTCCTGGTCTCAGGAGATGCTGGGGCTCCCGCAGACGTACCTCCTATGACTCCTCCGTTCCGGGAGGGTTGGGCTTCCTTTTGTCTCGCCTTCTTGCTCCTGAGGAGTATAGACCAGTAGCTGTCTCTGAGATGGCTCCTCACAAGCTCTTTTCCCATGGAAGCTACTTGCTTCAAGACGGTGCGGACCGTGAACTTGTGAACTGTGGCCTGGCAGCTGACTGAGTCACACGCCACGAGCCTTCTCCTGCGTGGTGCCTTGTGGTGACGTTTCCGTTTGCTGTGGGGCTGGTGAGTCACAGGGTGGAGCTGTGTACCGGGCTTCGAAAGTGTTCCGAAGTGGCCAGGCCTTGTTTCACACCCCCCAGTCCAGCAGTGTCTGCGCGTTCCCTGTCTTCACCGACACGTGCATGTGTCCCTCTGTCCGACTGGCCGTTCTTGCCTTTCTGGGGCACAGGCACAGCCTCACCACGCAGGCACCTGGCGTTAGCGTAGGCGCCCTGCACCTGTGTCCCTAAAGGCCAGTCCACTGATGCCAGGGCATGAGTGATTTTGACCCATAGGGACCCTTGTAGGGCAGGG